GTTAAATTTTCATGAATTCACAATTCTTCTTGAAGTACTGTATGGAGAACATTTTCACAAAATTTTATTTTGACTATTGCATGTTTAATATTAAATATTGTTTTCTTTTCCTATAATTATATTCACTTTATATAATTTTTGAAGTACAAATATGTATTGCTGAAAAAACAAATTATATTTTTTGCTGATACATAAGTAGAACAAATTGTAAATATTTTACAAGAAAAAGAAACCTATGCTTAAAAAAAATGAAGATTAACCAAAATGCATGATTTCTTTTTTTTTCAGATTTGAGGATTGTAAATTCCATTTATTAAATACATAAAATGTTAAGATTTCTGTTTATGTCCTATAATTCAGAATAATGAAAAATAACTAAAGTATGCAGATATTTCTCCATTTTCCCTGATACGTTTACAGTAATTACAGTATGTGGATGTTTCCCAGCTGTAATATACATTTACTGTTGTATGTGTACATTTCCACACATACAGTATCAGGTAATTCAAGTATGGGACGTTTCTCCATATCAAGTAAATAATAAAGAATATGGACAATTACTCAGATGCAGTTTGAGGTAATTCAAGTGTGGGACATTTCTCCTTATGTAGTATGTAGTAAAGAATGTGTACATTTCCTCAGATGCAGTATGAGGTAATTCAAGTATGGGACATTTCTCCATATGTAGTATAAAGTAAAGAATGTGTACATTTCCTCAGATGCAGGATGAGGTAATTCAAGTATGGGACATTTCTCCATATGTAGTATATAGTAAAGAATATGGTCAATTACTCAGATGCAGTATGAGGTAATTCAAGTATGGGACATTTCTCCATATGTAGTATATAGTAAAGAATGTGTACATTTTCTCAGATGCAGTATGAGGTAATTCAAGTATGGGACATTTCTCCATATGTAGTATATAGTAAAGAATGTGTACATTTCCTCAAATGCAGTATGAAGTAATTCAAGTATAGGACATTTCTTTATATGCAGTATATAGTAAAGAATATGGACAATTACTCAGATGCAGTATGCAGTAATTCAAGTATGGGACATTTCTCCATATGTAGTAAGTATATAGTAAAGAATGTGAACATTTACTCAGATGCAGTATGAGGTAATTCAAGTATGGGATATTTCTCCATATGTAGTATATAGTAAAGAATGTGTACACTGCCTCAGATTCAGTATGAGGTAATTCAAGTATGGGACATTTCTCCATATGTAGTATATAGTAAAGAATATGGACAATTACTCAGATGCAGTATGAGGTAATACAAGTATGGGACTTTTCTCCATATGTAGTATATAGTAAAGAATGTGTACATTTCCTCAGATGCAGTATGAGGTAATTCAAGTATGGGACATTTCTCCATATGTAGTATATAGTAAAGAATGTGTACATTTCCTCAAATGCAGTATGAGGTAATTCAAGTATAGGACATTTCTTTATATGCAGTATATAGTAAAGAATATGGACAATTACTCAGATGCAGTATGCAGTAATTCAAGTATGGGACATTTCTCCATATGTAGTAAGTATATAGTAAAGAATGTGAACATTTACTCAGATGCAGTATGAGGTAATTCAAGTATGGGATATTTCTCCATATGTAGTATATGGTAAAGAATGTGTACATTTCCTCAGATGCAGTATGAAGTAATTCAAGTATGGGACATTTCTCCATATTTAGTACATAGTAAAGATTATGTACGTTTACTCTCAGATGCATTATGAGGTAATTGATGTATGGGACATTTCTCCATATGCAGTATATAGTAAAGAATATGGTCAATTACTCAGATGCAGTATGAGGTAATTCAAGTATGTGGCATTTCTCCATATGTAGTATATAGTAAAGAATGTGTACACTGCCTCAGATGCAGTATGAGGTAATTCAAGTATGGGACATTTCAACATATGCAGTATATAGTAAAGAATATGGTCAATTACTCAGATGCAGTATGAGGTAATTCAAGTATGGGGCATTTCTCCATATGTAGTATATAGTAAAGAATGTGTACACTGCCTCAGATGCAGTATGAGGTAATTCAAGTATGGGACATTTCTACATATGTAGTATATAGTAAAGAATGTGTACATTTCCTCAGATGCAGTATGAGGTAATTCAAGTATGGGACATTTCTCCATATGTAGTATATAGTAAAAAAAATGTGTACACTTCCTCAGATGCAGTAAGAGGTAATTCAAGTATTGGACATTTCTCCATATGTAGTATATAGTAAAGAATGTGTACACTGCCTCAGATGCAGTATGAGGTAATTCAAGTATGGGACATTTCTACATATGTAGTATATAGTAAAGAATGTGTACATTTCCTCAGATGCAGTATGAGGTAATTCAAGTATGGGACATTTCTCCATATGTAGTATATAGTAAAAAAAATGTGTACACTTCCTCAGATGCAGTAAGAGGTAATTCAAGTATTGGACATTTCTCCATATGTAGTATATAGTAAAGAATGTGTACACTGCCTCAGATGCAGTATGAGGTAATTCAAGTATGGGACTTTTCTCCATATGTAGTACATAGTAAAGAATGTGTACACTGCCTCAGATGCAGTATGAGGTAATTCAAGTATGGGACATTTCTCCATATGTTGTACATAGTAAAGAATGTGAACATTTCCCAAATGCTGTATACAGTAAAATACACGATTATGATTAACTGGAATTGGTGAACATTTTGAGCATCGTAATCTATTTTCCCACGAGTTTGAAAGAATATTTGATTCCTAGACAAATTTTACTGAGGAGATTCCACTTTTAACATCATTATGTGTGAGCTAACATTCCCTGGGACAGATGTAGTTTATCATTTTTCTAATATTAGAGGAGAGAAGAGTCCAGAATTTTGCAGTATATCCACGGGCATTATTTTGGTAAAGTGTTAACATAAATCAATACTTTAATGCTTTTTTAAATAACAGGTGCCTTAATCACAGTATCATACACACTTTCGCCTTTTCTTATCGGCTGTGGTATGAATTTTGTTAGACATATTTGCAGAAAAGCAAGGCATGCCGGGAATTGATTTATTTCTGTGGGTATTGATTTCAATGGTTTGAGAAAAATGACATTTCCGCGGTGCTTAAATTGGTGCATTGGTGAATGGGTTCCTTAGTTAACAGACGTATTGCTCTTTATTGGACTGATATCATATAAAAATTGGTATCCAGTGTGAGTTTACAGTAGAAGTCATTTTTCTGCCACCATCCATATCGTGTTTGGTAAGGATGTATTTCAAAGTTTGTCTTTTGTTTATGGCTTTGACATGATGGTTAGTATTTATAATTTCAGTTCTTAATACTAAATTTATTTCTGTCAAAGTATCTTTCTATTGTTCAGTATCCATTATTAAAATACCAGTATCCACTTTTAAAATGCCAGTATCAACTTTAAAAATACCAGTATCCACTATTTTGAAACTAGTATCCACTATTATGATACCAATAAAACCTCTCCGGTGGCCTAGTGGTTAGAGCTTCCGCTTCGAATGTGAGAGGTCGCTGGTTCGAAAGCCGGCATAGTCACACCAAAGACTTATTAAAATGGTATTTACAGCTGCCTCGCTAGGTGCTTAAGAGGTTAGTGGTACGACTAATCAGCCTGGTGTAAGAATAATTTGACTAGGTGGGACATCATGCTACAAGTCTGCGGCATGATGCCCAGCGCTAGACATCAGTATAAACTGCCAGACTGAAGACATGGTAGCGATCTGACTGATAAGCTGTTAAAGCTACGTTAAAAAAAAATCCAAATCTCTCTCTCTCTCTCTCTCTCTCTCTCTCTCTCTCTCTCTCTCTCTCTCTCTCTCTCTCTCTCTCTCTCACACACACACACACACACACACAAAACCACCACCACCATCATCATCATCCACTATTTTGAATCTGATATCCACTACTATGATACCAGTATCCACTATTATGGAACCAGTTTTCAGCGGTTTGCTTCTGAACTTACAATAGGTATCCTGTAAGAAAAGCAAATGCAACAGTACTTGCAACAATTTATACTTATGGTATATACTAACAATATCATAGATATACCATATTTAAATTGTGTAACTGTATATGAATATGAACTGTTATATGTGCTTGTGAAAAATACTGATTTTATGTTTTATTTCAGGTCTACACCGTTATGTCTTCCTTTTATACAAACAGCCAAAAGGAAAGATGAACTTTAAAGAGCTTCCAAAGCTGACCAGTCAGAGTGGAGATAGAAGAGCAAATAACAAAGTGCGAGAATTTGTCAAAAAATATGAGATGGGAAAACATTTGGTGGCTGGCAATTTCTTTCAAGCTGAATATGATGATTATGTTCCCCAGTTACATTCTCAGCTGGCAGGAAAACATAAAACAGAACTATGATCTCCATTATGCCAGCGAAAGGTGGTGGTTGACCATGATCGCCACACATAATTACTGCAGTAATTTTTGTCAGCAACCAACCAATAATTTTTTTAGTGTTTCCAGCGACACCGTACAAATTTCATCCCAGATGATGATTTTCGGAATATATTTCTCACTCATTCGCTCAGGTCTCCATGCGTCCCCTCACCATCTGAAGAAATTATAAGTTTGAGATTTTACTCGTTTTCTTTCGCTAGTCTATGCGTGGGTTTTGTTTTACCAGAACTTCCAGGTCCGCTGAGATAAATTGTTTTATGTCTGGCCACGAAATAAAAAAAAACAACAGATGGTGATGCTGATACTGGTGTTTGATTGTCATTACCTTTGTATATTTCTTGTATACCAACATCTGCTGATTTAGAATAATCGAGTATACTTTGTTTTATTCTCCACGATCCTCATTCGCCGCTACCAAGTAATGGTTTGACCAAATCTAAATATTTTGTATTTATATAAAACAAACCCGTAAATCCGTAGCAATTCAGCGTGACAATGAAATTTATTTATCATCGATGATAAATTTATAGAAACGTAAGCGTAATGAGTAAATCAATTACCACTCCGGTGGCCTAGTGGCTAGGGCGTCCGCTTCGGATGCAGAAGGTCGTGGGTTCGATCTAACAGCTGCCTTTAGTGTTATGACTGGGACAATCTGCGCACGAGTATTATTATGAGAAGATAACTGATGTGATGATAGAGCTATCGATGAATCCCTGAAAGAATTTAAAAGATTACTCAGACTTCAACCAGATAAAATAAAATGTGAGGTAATGCGTGAAATATTTCCAGAAACTCCTTTAAATGATGTTTGGAATTTATAGACACCAAATGATTTAATATTTGCGAATAGAAAGATAGTTCGTGATGAATTGCCAGAGAAATTATTTCTGTTACACAAGGAAAGATTTCCAACGTTACATGTGCCGCTGTGTTAGCGCCCAGCAGATACTCGATATTCGACGACAAAATATTGAGGGAACCCCGCGTGGCCGAGTGGTCTAAAGCTCTTTCCGTTACGGATCACTACCATCTCACCTCTGTGTGGGTTCGAGTCTAAGATTCGGCGAATGCAGATATGTGAGAAAGCTTGCCAGTAGTTCTTTTCTTGAATTTTCCGATTTCTTCCTCCCCCATTAATGCTGTCCGTCATGTACTGAAAATGGCGTCAAGGCCCACAACAACAACACAATATTGAAGTTGAGATTCCAGGAAGAAATGAAAAACAAAATCTTGTATTAAATGCTATTGTTTTGGTTGATGCTGATGTTGAGAGCGCGTCGAGTATGAATAACTCACCGTGGAAATCCGTCGAAATTAGGATATGCCATAACAATCCACTCGTCACATATACTATTACTGATACTAATATCTGGATAGTCGATGACAGAATTGAGTGGTCAAATTTAGTCTATCTAGCAGTATCTAGTCAGAAGAATATCTCAACTACAGTTGTCACATAGACTCCACAGAAAATAATAATCAAACTTAGAGTATTAAAGTAAAAAGAAATTTTTTATCCAATTATAAGCAATGAGACAAAAAATCGCGATTTTGATATCGATGTTGAATTTATTAAGACGCTAAAATAACGACATATTAATCATTGTGTAATTTGTAACTGTCACATGTTGTGAAGTATTCTTGTAATAATCCAAGACAGTTCACCGCAGACAGAATTAATAGTGATCATGGTCGTACACGTGATAATGTGATGATGACCTGCTTTAAATGCACTCGATGCAGAGGTTCCAACAAAAGTAAACTCGGCGGTAATTGTGTATTCTCAGTAATTATTTGTAATTGTTCACGTACAAATCCATGCTGAGGAGCAGTTGAATCTTGTTTGTATACGGCAGGTCTACCCATAAATCTAACCACGCTGAAAATTGTATGCGCACGTTCTTTTACTCTCTTCAGGTTCACCAGGTTCATATAAATAGTTTAGTTACATTACATAATGCTGGTTCAGGGGAAGATCTGCGGCGTTGTATTGGTATATATTTTTTGTAATCGCATTAGATTTCAAAAAAGTTCCACGGTTAATTTCATTATTTAGCGCAGTTATCTCACTTGGTAACACTTGTTGAGTGTTTCTGCTTCTTTGGATCTACTTGCAACGTCAACGACAGTTAACATGTACGTGTGTGTCCACGTGTTTTAATGGTATCGTACGGTAAAAACAAGGTATCCGCTTGATGAACTTCATAGTGAAAGCGGACATCAAAATGAGCATACTTAATATTTTTAGGTGGCGGCAGGTAGATTTGCCATATTGCCTGTCATGCTAGCCACGATGCAGCTTCAGCAAGTTTGCTCTGCCCTTTCAATATTCTCTCGGGGAATAATAAATGGACTCCATTATAATAGTTATATAATTAATTACCCAGCCCCTAACATAATTTTGCCCTTCAAACCAGTTTTTACCAGAAAAGCAGCAGATTTTTCTCGAAGTGAGTTTTTACATTATTTATGGCATGAATTAATTTTATATCGGCGACATCTCGCTGTTGAAAATCTTTATTTTGATAAGCAATGTCATGAACGTAACATGCTTGATCGATTCCATTTACGGGAAAGTCACCAAGCCGAGTTTAATCTTGATTGTCGAGACGATTATCTAAACGAGTCCCTGGCCCACAGTAATTACAATACGGTGTTTTTCACTGGGATATTTTGCCCACAGTAATCCTGGTAATTTACCCAGGGCCGTAGCAGAATTAACACCGACTTTGTCCTCGTCAGAAATAAATTTATATTTTTGTGCCGCTTTTCACACGTACCTGTCAGTGCGCGTCTTTTATTTTTTTTTTTTTTTTTTTTTTGTTATTATTGTTGTTAATCCAGTGGTGGACGTGGCCGCCCTGCATCGAATACAATAAAAATTCACGTTATATAATTGATTTTTATGCGACACGAAAGCAGGAGCCAGTAAAACTTCACCCAGTGCTACCGAATTATATTAGATCCATCTGGATCAGGTAAAACAGTTATTGCTTAATCTGATAATGAATAGCTATAGTGGGATAAATTATATTTAGTAGCACCATCTGTAGATGATCGGAGATGATATGAAGTACTTAAAGATTTTAATAAAAAAGCAAAAGTGTTAAAAGAAGACAGTGACGTTATTGATTTTATTTTTGATATTGATGAAGTGCCATCTGTAGATAATCTGGATGGAAGCGTTAACAATTTAGTAGTGTACGATGATGTTATGCTGGACAATCATATCCAGCCAGGATATTTTCCAGAGGCAGGCATCAAAACACAGGCGTGATTTCTGTTACCCAGAATTATACACATTTTCCAAAAGTGATTACAGTTTATTAATATTTTAGTTGTGTTTAAGTGAGTTGACAATCATACGCTGCAAAACATATTACCTGGTGTTCAGGGAACATGGACATGATTATATTTATAAAAATTTCTTTGCACACGTGCAAGCTGCCCTATTTGGTTTTATAACAGTAAATTTACATGATCCGAGGTCAATATATCGTAACAGACATTATACAATATTTGGATAAAAACCACAGTAGCGGGGAGGGTATGACCAACGAAAGTGATCAACACCTAAAGGAAACCACGTAGCGGTGAAATACAAAAATCATCATTGGTAAAAACGCAAGCTAACCCCACAGGGTTTCCTAAGTGACAGAGGCGTTTTGGTTTAAAGTTATTGATTTCAGATTTCACCGTCGTACGAGGATTTAGTTTTCATATATAAGGTCTCAGACAAATGATTTATTCACCCTCCCTGCTGCTATTATTTTAATTGTGGCAGCCGTATCTGAATTATGCAGGACACCATTTTCATTTAGGAATAATCGGGTATCAAAATAAATCTTTTGGTCAATGCTCCATGTTGACGTAACCATCAATTCTGGAATACCTATTAAAGGTTTTCAACATCGCTGACATGGTGGCCATATTAGACATCAAATCAGCACTTTTCATCCAGGATCACAATGAGTTTCCATTTAGAAACGGCAGCAAGAATACTTTTTAAGACGACTCCATTAGTGTTCATATTGCAGATCAAAACGGAACCATTTTCGTTTAGGACCAATCAGACGTCTTCTAGTGAAAAACAAAAGTAAAAAAATAAAAATGGTACCATTTATACTACCCCTAATCCCCCAACATTTAAGTTTTTTTTTGCTTATATATAGATCAATTAATGTGCCATATCTTTCACAACATTATTATAAATGCATGATGATCATGACACAAAAAGTGCTGTCCAATCTTCCACATTCTCAGTCTGCTACAGTATACACGGTATTAGTTGTATTGAAAAATGGGTATCTCCCTAGAAATGGGTGAACATTAAATAGATTATATACAGGATTGCCTGACCAGGATTGGTTAATAATATAAGTTATTTTTTAGGAAAAATAATCTTTATAGATCTTAGAGTTGAAAATGAATAAAAATAGAGACATTGTTTTTTAGTTTCAGTCCTTTAACAGTTTGGAACACTCGTTACTATGATTAGCACCAAACTCTGGTGCGGAAATAAAATAGTTTCAAACATATGCAGGTCCACAAAATGCCACGGCTCATATCCTTTCCTCTGCATAGAAGCAGGTTTCATCTATACTGATAAATACAGGTTTGTTCATGAGCACTCAAAAATATTAAGTTATTGAATTTTTAATACCATGGTGTTGACATAGGTTTACTATGGGAACTGAATTAGTACGGTGATTACTGCAACCGTATTAAGACAGGAACACAAGACAAAGTATTAAATCTTCATGAAAAAATAACACAGCATTAATATTGAATGTTTTTATTACTTTTATGGCATCCAAAATTTGGCCTAGTCATACGATGCAACAACAAATGAACAAGCTGCAAAATAATAAATTAGGATTCAACAACGTGGAATAATAAGATGGTTGCAATTATAGATTTTCTGATTAGAATTTCTGATGTTCTTCCATATTTTTCTTCAGCTCCAAAGCATCCAAGACATTTAATTTTCATGTCTCCAATTTTATTAGAAATGGAATAATACAATTTGTCATCTTTATAGCACTGACCACATTATATATATATATATATATATATATATATATATATATATATATATATATATATATATATGTCTGTTTATCATTACATTTTTGTGTATTGATCCTCTAGAAAATTTGATCTGGTTGGGTTACTTTGAAAATGTGCAACAACAATGAAGACATTTTTTTTTGTACTACAAAACATTCTGTTAAATTCGGTCTCCTGCAATATAACCCACTATTAAAAACCACTTCATTAGACACCTTTTCTGTCCATTCATTCATCTTCACAATACAAAGTTAACATTACACTGTGAAATTGTCAGGAGCAATGGTATCTCAGTGGTTAGTGTGCTGGGCACGTTTTAGAAGTTGAAGGTTCGAATCCTATCATCTGATCTGCCTGGATTGGCTACTGTGGCATGTGCTTGTGCAAGACGCTTTACTCCAACTGCCTTGTCGCAAAATAACTCTAGATGCCGTGTTGTAAAACTCAAACCAAGCCAGTTAAAATATCTACAGATGAGGGAAAATGGTTTATACATTTAAGCAAAGCTAGCAAGCACCTTTTCCCCATGTAGACCTTTTTTTTTACTGTGACCTCATTCTGAATGT